ATGGTCCTCTTGAGTTTGTCTGTGTAGCAACAGTACAGAGAAAGGTAGAGTTTTAGGGATATTTATGAGGAGCTGAGACCTGAGTCTGACTCGATGTTTCCACCACGGTCCTCTGAGGCAATGCATGGTGCCAGGGAGCAGGGAATGGAGTAGCAGGAACAAGATGAGCTCTTTAGGGTCTCTGTAATAACCTCCTGCAGGGAGTGTTGTTCCTCTATCTGGAAGATGTTTGGCTGTTCTATTGAGTCCTCACCAATACTAGTTGTGGGGGGAAAAAAGAAAAAGAAAAGACATGCTAGCAGTTAGATCAGTGACAGTATCGAGTACACGAGCATGCTGGTATGATGGCAACAACACAATCAATGGCACAGAACAATCCACAGACAAAAGTACTAACAAACCTTTAGTTTATCTATTCCTCACATAAGTTCAATAACAATCTCCACCAAGCAACAGAAAATACTTCTGTTCTGCTCTAAACCATCAAGAAGAGTCAGAATTTTACAGAAATTCACATTCATAATTTCCATGCACCCACATTAATACAATCAGCAGGATTTGTTGCATTCATTTGGGTCAGGGAAATGATTGCACTGGTGACCATTCTGCGAGTGAGAAGCTGCCTTTTTCTGCAAACATTTTAGATCCCATTAATCTTTGAAGACCCCAGTTTTTGTTTTTGAACCTGCTGGGTATGTTACATACCAGTGGCTTATAAGGTATTCCTTCCAATATGAAGTAGATGTTGTTGTGAATGGGCAATACATACATTAAAAACTGGATGGCTCACTTTCTGAACCAAAGCAGATTAGGTCAAGTATGAACAAAAGCATCTATGATCCCTTTTGTAGGACAATCATTACCGACATGTCTGTGTAAGTATGTGCACTCAAAGGAAGTCAGATATGAGACTCCAATAACAATGAAAACATCACATATTGAGCGATGTAAGTCTAACAACCTTTTATGAAAGATGCTGTTAAATAGGTTCACAAAATAAAGACAGAGGGTTCAGTGCAATCAGCCCTTTTGTACATAGAGAGTTGTAGTAAAGGCAGATCATCCACAAGCCCCATAAGTGCAAAAACAAAACAAAAAAACCAAACAAAAAAAGAACATATTTGTGAAGAATAATGCTATTATACCCGACAAAGTACCTTTGTGAGCTATTTAAAACTACACAGTGAGTATGCATGCTTTAATAGGTGGCTTAGTGTTAAGCAACATTCATATTTTATTGCTACGCGAATAAGATTAAAACTAGGTGTTAAAGTAGTTCATACACAAGCCAACGCCTCTAGAGGTGCCGTCTCATGCACCAAACAAACCATTTGCTCTTGCTGCCACTGTGTACAGTTTAAAATGAAGCACGTAATAAGGAGGCCTTTCAAAGCATACCCAAACAATACAGGCATTATTAAAAAGGAAGTGAAGCCGCTTTCAGCTAACGAAACTAGGAAATGATGAAGATGGCAGTTGACCAATCAAAACAACTTTGATTATTACAATTACATTTTAGAAAAATGCAAAGCATTAACTAGACCACTGCTACCTGAACATTAAGTGGAATATGGAAGGAAAAGATGATAAGTCAACCGTCTTGCATCATTGTCGAGAACATCCTTTTGTTCTTTCGGCTTTTAATGAGTGAGATTCATTCAAGCTTTATTTTTAAAGGGGCAAAAACAAGCCAAGGAGTGTTCAGAGGGAAAATAAACAAAAACACAGCCAGAAACCAGAGAGACATTACGGGGATCTGGAGAACTTGAGTCTAAATATGGAATCAAGCTTTCAGAAATTCTGTAAGAAAGAAGCACAGTTATAACAACAACAACTACTTGGAGAGGTCAACTGGTTTGTGATGGGTTGAAACAGGTGTTAAAACA